GGGGGGGGGGGGGGGGTGAGTATGAATTGTTCCAGTGTGTTCGTCATATTTGTCTTGTGCATTTTTATCGTTTGTTTTGCAAAGTGCGCTCTTCTTAGTTCATAGATATGTGACAATATATGTGTATATGTAAGCACATAGGGTTCGGCCTCCTGATGAGTAGGTAGGCGAAACTCCGACGAAACAGTTTGTCACAGGCCGTCGTTTGTTGTCCTCGACTCCCTCCCTATCTGCCTACGGGTTACGGCACACCTCTGTTTGATGATATCTATACATAAAAATATACATAGATGTACATTCACAGTGTGACAATATATATATCGTCATATATATCGTCAAATAGAATATATACATCGATGTGGGCGGCCTTGTACGCAAGAGGTTTTGAACAGGGGGAGTCTTGTAAGGAAGAAGATAAAAAATGAATTTATTTCTTCTCTTTTTCGCATTTGCTGTCTGATAAATTTGTCAGACCGCAAATGCGAAAAAGAGAAGAAATAAATTCATTTTTTATCATCTTCCTTACAAGACTCCCCCTGTTCAAAACCTCTTGCGTACAAGGCCGCCCACGTCGATGTATATATATTTATTTGTGACGATATATATAGATAGTAATATTATATCATGTATTTTTTTATTCAAAAAAATACATATCTTTTTATGTATTGTCTAATATTTCATAATAGAATTCATTCTTTTTATTTTATATCTGTACATAATAGAATAGAGATAGACTAATTTATATATATATATATATATATGATGAGTCGGTGAAACTCCGACGAAACAGTGTGTCACAGCCCCTCGTTTGTTGTCCTCTTCTCTCTTCTCCCTCTCTGCCTACGGTTTACCGGGCAGTTCTATTTGTGACGATATATATGACGATATATATATTGTCACACTGTGAATGTACATCTATGTATATTTTTATGTATAGATATCATCAAACAGAGGTGTGTCGTATGATGAGTGGGTGAAACTCCGACGAAACAGTTTGTCACAGCCCCTCGTTTGTTGTCCTCTTCTCTGTCTCTGCCTACGGTGTACCGGGCAGTTCTGTTTGTGACGATATATATATACTGATGAGTCGGGGGGAACTCCGACGAAGCAATTTGTCACAGGCCCTCGTTTGGTGTCCTCTTCTCCCTCTTGTCCCTCTCTGCCTGCCTACGGTTTACCGGGCAGATCTGTTTGACGATATTTTCATACATATACTTACATGGACGATATATACATAAATGTATAAATGTATATAATGAGTTGGTGAAACTCCGACGAAACAGTTTGTCACAGCCCCTCGTTTGTTGTCCTCTTCTCTCTCTCTGCCTACGGTTTACCGGGCAGTTCTATTTGTGACGATATATACATATATGTATATGTATGTAACATACAGCATGATACACGTATGTCTGTATATACAGTGTTACAAACACAACTGTCTACAGTAAACCGTGGGCAGAGAGGGAGGGAGAAGGAGAAGAGGACAACAAACGAGGGGCTTTGACAAACTGTTTCGTCGGAGTTTCATCGGCTATATATATATATATATCGTCACAAACAGAACTGCCCGGTAAACCGTAGGCAGAGAGAGAGAAGAGAACAATATATATGTATATATATTTCGCAATGTGACAATATATATCGTCACAAACAGAATTGCCCGGTAAACCGTGGGCAGAGAGAGAGAAGAGGACAACAAACGAGGGGCTGTGACAAACTGTTTCGTTGGAGTTTCACCGACTCATCAGGAGGCTGAACCCTCAACAGTCTGTAGAATCCCCTCACTGATTACACTGTAAATGATAATCTACCTTAAC